GCCCTATAATAGCGTTCCGGTTAAATGCATAAATTATTCTTAAATGAAAGGTGAAAAGAAAATACTTTCAAGAAGAATGGAAACCGGCTAAGGAATCGAAGAACGATAAATAACATTACATTTTATTTTGTCACCTCTTGCTCCCGATCGTATCAACTATATAAACATCTCTTCGTGCACACCTATAATTGGAAACGAATACTGAAACGATTCCCTTGAAAAGGCCTCTCTTATCAATGAGACATATAATTCATATTTCAAAATCCTTTAAGATAAATTAATATCATCTCGTCGATAGCGTCGTGCTGTCCGAAATTACAATGTTTTACAATTTTAAATTCACAGAAAAAAAAAATATATATATTCAGAATAAGAATAAACAAAAAACCGCGAGAAACGTTCGTCACTCATTATATCATCGCATCGTAACAAGAAAGGAAAATATATTCCTTCTCAAATTCCAGTACCTTTCACGACTTCTAAGTCGATACCGAATTTACTAGAGATTATTAGTACCTACCACGATACCGTCAACCAGCATTTCTAGTAGTACGTAAGGATGAACACGATCCCCTAATTACCTAAGGGATGGTATCAGAGAACGAACTGCTAAGTCCGCGGTGACAAAGTTCCCGAAGATACCCAAGCAAAACACGGAACCACCTCGGCAAGAAAACCGCGCATTCGACTTCAAGACCAGCAGAGTTCTTCCCTAGGAACATTATTCCCTAATTACCTACACCTAGTGCGCCCAGAAGTCGAACTCTCCGACCACGGAGTCGAAGTTCGTCGAAGACGTCCAGGCGTAGCCGAACTTACCACAGGAGAGCTAGGAGTTCGAAACCAAGCCTGGACTTCTCTCCTTGCAGCGACATTCCCTAATTACCTACATACGGGGTGCGTAGGAGTCGGGAACTCGGGGGTACGGGGTCAAAGTTCGTCGCCAAGACGTCCGAGCGACGCAGGGAGTCATCGCGGCGGGAGAGTCGCGAGTTCGACTCCAATGTCTATCCTGGACTCGGCAAGTCCAAGGTCGGCGATCGTACCGAGCGGGTGCGCACCCACCCCCACCCTTCCGCGCGACGTCAGAGGGGTGGGGGGGCCAGGGGGGCGGGGCGCCAGGCGACCCACGTGACCTCTGTGAACGACGTTCATCGATCCGGGTGGCGCGCACGCATTCTGCATCTCGCCGCTGCGGCGGCCGCTTCACACGCTTGCGTTTCCCCGGACCCGCCGCGGAAAAACGACCGCCGTGACGCCGATCGGCCGATACGCTCTTAAGGATTCCTCGGTGCCGGTTAATCTCCCCGGCGAGAATATTTCACCCTCGAACCGGTTCACGGGAAACCGAGCTGGAAACTTCTGCCGGTGGAAGGGACCCGACATTGTTCACCGATCAGCGGAGGATGATGGTATTAATCGGGAGCTTTGATATTTGAGGATTTTTTTAATGTAGATCTTGAATGGATGTCTTGGTATTTGAGATGAAAGTTGGAAATATAAGGAACGCGGGTTTTTTTTGTTTTTTTTTTAAGGTATACGTTGGATTGTCAGTTGAGTGGGGGCAATGATACTTTGATAGTAGAAGGGATAAATATTTAAGTTGGAAAGGGCGAGTCGATCCTTTTCCAAAATGCAATGATTCTTGTGGCGAGGGAAGTTTTGCCGTGGATTGGGACATTATGTAGTGGTTATGTAGAGACTTTTTTTATGTTTGGATTGAAGTCCTCCATTCCTGGTCCTCGCCGGAACGTCTCTTTCGGCGATCCCTCGACGACGTCGCATGAACTCGAAGAACTATTGCCGTATACTTTGGAAGTTGTCGCACTAGATGGGCTAAAACAGTTTTACCGTCTCCGCTACGTGCCCTGTTTACTTGGACCTTCGAACACAAGCTTAGATAGGAAGAGGAAGCCTTCTTACGGAAATTGCCAAAATTAAAAAAAAAAAACATGGCGCATTAAAATACTCTGAAACCCACGCTTGTTGCTCTGAAGATATCGTTCAATGACACGAGACCTTTAGTCGAATTTGATGACGGTGCAGGGATCGTAACGATTTTTTGGGGAATTTCTTTCGTGACATTGTAGCCTATTTTGTTCTTTCTTCGTTCTCTTTTTTTTTCTTTTTTTTTTTACAGGCCTTGGATCGTAATTTCTTTCTTTTTCTCCTCCTTAAGCAACAGTTTATGGAACAAGCCGAGATCGAAAGCTAACAAGAAATTGCCTCGAGATACACATTGAGTGCGTCTTTGTGCGCGGAATGGAGTAACGTTCCTCCACGCGGAACTGCACGTGCAAAATTGCACCGTGACTTAACCTTTACTGTAAACCCGGTCGTCGTAGATTTCCCATGAAGTATGATTCGGTGAACCTTACAGGAGAGTTATTTATTAAAGTAGCGAGCAAAACCACTTCGTTCCCAGCCTTTGCAGATACATCAAACGTTTACCGGTATTTCGAGCATAGCTCAGGATCGTAAACGCACTCCTTTTTTTCGCGAGAAATATCCTACGTCTGTAAGCTTTCGATATTCTGGACAGACGATACCGATAGGCGGGGCGAAATTAAAATTATTCACGCGAGAGAATTCCCGAATTAAAATAACGCGCGCGACACATCGTGCTCCGAATGCGCTAATTCCTACATTACTGCGACATTTACCATGTACTCGTATCAATTTGCATTGTAATTCTCCACTTATTTGTGTATATTGCCACGTTGCATGGTTCATAATTTTATTCTTTTAACACTATTTCTACCAAAGGTGTCAAAATACACCTTTTCAAATTTTGACTTGAAATTATTTTCAAAGTTTAATAATTTGGTCTCAATTAATGTTTTGAGTTTTCGTATAATAATTGTTAAATTTATTTAGCGGTATCATTTTTCTCCAGCTCATCCCATTCGTTTAAAACACGTTTAGTTGAATTTGAATTCGGTAAGGAGTAAATCCCGACTCCTCGATTTTGGTAAGAGGGACCATTTTGTCCTCTCAAGGCCATATTCCAGGAGCGACGACTCCTCGCCGATCTTCGCGACCATCTCCTCGTGACGGTGCCATTCCGAATGATGATGTGACATGAATGAATGTCTCCGAAATATCATAATGAGTTTCGGGCCTCTATATATATTTGTCATAATTCGTACATTAATAAAACACGTTTGGTTGAATTTGAATTCGGTAAGGAGTAAATCCCGAGTCCTCGATTTTGGTAAGAGGGACCATTCTGTCCTCTGAAGGCCATATTCCAGGAGCGACGACTCCTCGCCGATCTTCGCGACCATCTCCTCGTGACGGTCTCACGAGACAATGCCCCCGAAGTTCACACGTTAAGGCGATCCGCGATCCGAGACGGAATGACTAGGCTCTTCCGCTCGACTCTCGGCAGCGCATCTTGCTTTATTCAAATCGCTTCCCAGGAACGCAGTCGGACGGATTCCCCCGGCTCTGGTCCCCTCCCTCTCCAGCAGACGGACCGGGAATCGCGGAATCCCAGAATCCGGGAACTGCGGGGTCGGAAGTGGGACGTGCTTCCCCTGGGGGAGCGTTCACCTCGCGAGGTAGCGCCGCGAGATATCGCGAGCTCAGATCGAAATTCCTGCACGAGCGAGACGCGCCTTTCGACGCCCGAACGGAACGGCGACGCCCTTTTGGGTCAGGGATTTTCTAAAGTGGTTGCCGCGCCGCGACTTTCTGTCTTTTAGAATTCGTTTCAGCTTGGATTTTACTATATTACCCGTTGAAGCGTCTTATAAGTGCATATAATTATATGACGTATTTCAATTATCAATGCATACATACATATGTATATATGTATTGCGTACATAAACATACTGTAAATACATAATACACAATAATGTAGATCATATTACAACATTGAATTGTCCTTTCCTTCAGTACGTGACGTTGCGGGACTTGATCTTACCATTTAGAAAAGAACATTTGTATGCGCGGTAATTTATTTATAAATAAATACAACGTAACGTTGTAGAACATATGAGATACGTTCGTTTTATTTCCTCGATGGTGCGGAACGTCGGAAAATCGGGAAGAACTCCAGGAGTTTCGCTGAGAGCGCGGTAACCTCCTACCTCGCGCCCTTGAACCTTCCGAAATTCATGGGATCAGGGAATAAATTCAACGAGCTATGGGCGGGATGCACTCTTTTGCACGTGTCAAAGCGATCGGATTAAAGGGAAGTAGAGGACGTGTCGGAAAGGACATGGACAGGGAGAGGAAAGGGAGTCCTGACATGTAAATAGCCCCCTTCATCCCTCTGAAAACCGATCTGGGAATGGCGCCGCCTTCCCTGGAGTCTGCATTTTGATGGCCACGAGTAAACGGTGCTCGATCCGTACTTTACCCTGTCGTTTACGGCCCGACAGGTTCGTTGATTTGCACCGATTTCGCGCGTTTTCTCTAGCCTAACTTTCCGAAACTCGCCTCCTAGTCCCGGCTATCCCGTGGTTCCCTGGGTTGTCATTTCCACTTCGGAAGGTGCTCCACTCGGTTTTCCAGCTTTCAATTTACGGTTACAGAACTCCGTGTTCCAACGTTGAGCTTTTCAGGGCGTTCGATTTGTATGTATTCCAGGTTTAGGAATGGTTTTTCAAACTGGATTCAGAGTTCGCCATTGCGCACGTACAATGGACCGGTGCAATTGAAAAGTGACACAATTGGGCTTTGAATGTACAATAATTGACGTTGTCATTGCAAATACCCTGCTATACGAATATTTTCCCCTTTTCATTGTGTATATAAAATAAATATTCGGGATGGTAAAAACACGTTGTAAAGGTCGGACTGAAAATTAAGTCGATCGATCGCGTAAGGTCAGCTGAACATTTTACGGATCTTAGTCTAGGTTGATTGTACCACGTTTCACGTCGGCTAACTATTTGGAAAGATCGTATAGTCACGTAGTTGATTTGCATTTATCAAGTCATCCAGCACAGTAGCGAGTACCTAGGCAATAACCTGGAATCGTTTGTTTGCAGGGATGCCGGTTGACTGAAGATGGCCTCACCGACACCCTCGCTGGAATCGCGCGCAAATTCCCTCGGCTCCTTGGCCTCGCTGTCCCCCTTGACGGTGAGCGACAGCTCGCCACCAGCCAGCGACTCCGCGATCTGCGACGTCGACAGTTGCGACCTCTGCCTGGACGCGAAACCCGGGGACGCGCCCTGTCCGCACTGCTGCCGCCTGGGGGGTGGAGGCGTGCGTTGCACCGGCTGCAAGTCGACCGAATCGGACGCTGTAGCGCGTTGCTTCGACTGCGCCAATTTCCTGTGTCCGAACTGCGTGATGGCCCACCAGTACATGCACTGCTTCGAGGGCCACCGGGTCCTCAACCTGGCCGAGTCGAAGGTGGAGGAACCGAAGAGCAACTTGGTGATCAACGGAGGCAACGGGGAGAAGGCCCTCTTCTGCCTCCGACACAAGACGGAGCTGCTAAAATACTTCTGCAGAGCGTGCACCGTTCCGGTGTGTAAGGAGTGCACGATCACGGACCACCCCGGACCGCTGCACGACTGCGCCCACATCTCCGAGGTGGGGCCCCAACAGCTGGAAGCGGTAGCGAGGGCGGTGCAGGAATGCAGGGCCAAGGCCGCGGACGTGAGGAGTGCGGTCAAGGCCGCGGACCACGGGGCGGCCAGACTCCAGGTCCAGTACCACAAGGCCCAGAACGAGATCAACGACACCTTCCAGTTCTATCGGTCGATGCTCGAGGAGCGCAAGCAGGAACTCCTCAAGGAGCTCGAGTCGGTCTTCTCGGCTAAGCAGATCTCCCTCGGAATCGTGACGCAGAAGGCCAACGAGACCGCCGACAAGATCCAGCAGACCTGCGAGTTCGTCGAACGGTTGACCAAGTACACCACCGTGACCGAGGTGCTGATGGTGAAGAAGCTCCTCGACTCCAAGCTACAGCAGCTGCTCAGTTACACGCCGGACGTGGCCAGCCAGACTGCGGACCTCGAGTTCGTGAGCAACTATCAGGCGATCCAGGTCGGCGTGAGGAACACCTTCGGGTACATCCGCAGCAGCAGCGAGGGCAACGCGGGGCCCAGCAAACAGCCGCCCATCGCGCGGCCCACCGCCCTCTCGAGCGGAAGCAGCAGCGCCGGAAGCGGACCCGGCAGCGCCGGCTCCCTCGGCGGTCTTCTCCTCGACCGGCCCTACAGCAACGGCCTGGTTTCCTCCAACTCGAACTGCGTCTCCTCGACCTCGCCCTCCTCGTTCGAGAGCAACGTCATCTCCAAGAGGTTCAGCTCGGCGAACAGCCTCGGTCCCTTCTCGACGACCATCAGCGACCTTAACCTGAACGGCATGAATAACCCCTACGAGAAGTGGAGCAACGGCGGCAGCGACACCTTCCCCGTCGGAGCGAACGATCACTTCCCGATGCCGGCCGCGCCCGCCGACTCCGTCCTCGACCTGACCTCGAAGCTCGTGCCCGCGGCCATCTTTCCGCTCAAGTCGCAGATCAAACGACAAAAGATGATTTACCACTGCAAGTTCGGCGAGTTCGGAGTGCTGGAGGGCCAGTTCACGGAGCCCTCGGGGGTGGCGGTGAACGCCCAAAACGACATCATCGTAGCGGACACCAACAACCACCGCATCCAGATATTCGACAAGGAGGGCAGGTTCAAGTTCCACTTCGGCGAGTGCGGTAAGCGGGACGGTCAGCTGCTCTACCCGAACCGCGTGGCCGTGGTCCGCAACTCGGGCGACATCATCGTCACCGAGCGCTCGCCCACCCACCAGATCCAGATCTACAATCAGTACGGCCAGTTCGTGCGGAAGTTCGGGGCGAACATTCTCCAGCACCCCCGAGGCGTTACCGTCGACTCGAAGGGTCGCATAGTGGTGGTCGAGTGCAAGGTGATGCGCGTCATCATCTTCGATCAGGCCGGCAACGTCCTCCAGAAGTTCGGGTGCTCAAAGCACCTGGAGTTCCCCAACGGCGTGGTCGTAAACGACAAGCAGGAGATATTCATAAGCGACAATCGCGCCCACTGCGTAAAGGTGTTCAACTACGAGGGCGCCTACCTGCGCCAAATCGGTGGCGAGGGCATCACGAACTATCCGATCGGCGTGGGCATCAACGCCGCCGGAGAGATCCTGATCGCCGACAATCACAACAACTTCAACCTGACCATCTTCACCCAGGACGGCCAGCTGGTCTCCGCCCTCGAGAGCAAGGTCAAGCACGCCCAGTGCTTCGACGTGGCCCTCATGGACGACGGGTCCGTCGTGCTGGCCAGCAAGGACTACCGACTCTACATCTACCGCTACGTCCAGGTCCCGCCGATCGGCATGTAGAGACGATCGTCCCGAACGTAGGCGAGCCACCGCGCGCGCTCAGGCTCGACGACCGGCTCGCTCGCCGATCGCTCGCCGACCGAAGAACCGCCGGCATGGCCTTCGTTCAGGACACGGCCCCAGAAGTCAGGGGGCGCGAGAGAGGGCACCTCGGTGCGCGGCCGCCCTGGCGAAGGACCCGCGCCCTGCCAGCTCGCGCCTCGCCGAACTAACGCGAGGAGGACGCGTGCGTCGGATCCGACGCGAGACGACCACGGAGACTACTTACGCACCGAACATTTTACATACACACACTTACCCCCGTATATACTTACTTACATACACGCACACGCGCGAAACTTACTTGTTAATGTTGTTATAACTGAAAATACTGTTGTTGTTGTTTAGTTGTAGAGCTCGCCGCCGCTAGTCACTTTTTTCCTTCCCCGCCCCTCGCCCCACCCCGTCTCCCTATAAAGTCCCGCGCTCCTTTTGCCCCACCGCCATCGCTCTCGAACCCCGATCATCCCCGACCATCCCCGTCCTTTTCGGCTTCGAGATAAGTTCCCGTCACGGTTCTATCGCGCGCTACGCGTCGTTCCTCGCACCCTGGTCTCGTCCCTCGATCGGCCAATCGATCCCTCCACCCTTCCGCGCGATCGACGGACTCGATCCCGACCCGCTCCCCCGACACCCTCTCCTAGACCCACACGCGCGCAACGCCGTCGTCGTTCCTAGGTGATCAAGTGTATTTAACGAGTTAACAACCTGGATACGACGGAGATCAGCGCGAGGTGCATTTACGAAGTACGATCTATATATCCGTATGGACACGTATACGTGTATCTCTGCATATATTTGTCCATATATATATATGTATGTATATGTATTTGTATTCAAAGTATCGCTACCCCTAATTACCGCGCGCTCGCGTGCGCTACTTGTCGTGCCAGATGACACGTATTTCGGAGAGGTACAGGACGCTCGGACCGGGAACTCCGTATCGGGCACAACGATCCGCGAAGCCGCGTCCCGGTCGACTCTCGGATCGGGTCCTGGACCCTCCGGCTGCTCTCGCGGAACTCCTCGAAGAGGGCGCTTCCGGTACCCGGAGAGACCGGCCCCTTCCGGGTCCCCACTCGGGCACCGCGCGTTCGCCGTTGGAAACGCTCCGGCTCAGTATTAAGAAAATTGTGCACGCCGATCTACGCATGCGCTCCTATTGTTTAAGCCTAGCTTAATTCCTGCTCGCATACATGCCCGGCCGACGCCCGATTTTAGTTGACATTCGACGGCCACCGAGCGATCGGACGCCGCGACTTCGAGAGCGTCCTGCCTGCTGCGTCCTTTTTTCTCTCCTCTTCTCTCCGTCTCTTTCATTTCCTTTTCCTTTTTTTTTAATTATGTAGCTTATCATAGTACGTAGATCGTAGTTGAATTTGATCGTAACGAGTAAGGACTCCTCCTATCTTTCGTTTGCATTTCTCCCCGCGACTTCCTCGCCCACAGCTTTTCGTCGCGTGCGCCTTCAGCATCTCCGCATTTAAACCGTGCTGTGCTTCCGGAAGGTCCAATATCAATTCAACGGTAGTGTTTTCTGTTTCTCTATCTCTCTCTCTCTCTTTCTCTCTCTCTTCATTCGAACATATAGTATTAATATATTTTGTTGGATGAGCCGCGACGCGCGCGGGATGGACCCGTGCTCCGGTTTCATGCATGTTTGCTATTTACAATATTATTAGTATTATTGTATTATTATTATTATTATTATTACTATTATTATTATTATTGTATTATTATTGTATTATTATTGTATTATTATTTTTATTTTTATCTACTCACTCCGATGATGTATCACTGCCTCAAGACACTTCGGGGCAAGGCGTTGGAAACTCTTCGCCACTCGCGTTTTGCATCGCGTTCTCGATATACGGCGGTGGATGAATTCTCAACGTCGAAGGTTGAAAATGTATATTCGTAAAAGGATGAGGGAAAAATCCTCGAGGATCGGTCTACCCTAGCTGGCAATCGGGAATCCTGGGAATTTTCGGGGAGTTAGAGAATCGAAATGTAGTCTCGGTTTAGGAGGTGATCGATCGACTGTTTAATAGTCGCTTTTGGATGATGGACGTCGGCGAAGAAACGCGTCCTCTCCCGGAAATCCCGGAAGGTGCTTTGCCACAGTCCGAGATTTCCGGGAACGTCTGGATGCCTGTTGGATGGGAATTAAAACGAATCGTTGTAGCCCGGAATTCGATGGGAATTCAACGTTAGTCGCGGATGGACCTCTCGGTATGTGGATCCTCCTCGGGTTCGACCTCGTTTGAACCGTTCGAGGTGGCGGATCGCAAAACGTCCTTGGATGTCCTTGCTCCGGATACACGTAGGGGTGCATTACCCGGCGGAAATCGATCTCGAAACCGGAGCGAGGACGTGACGGGACGCGACCGGACTCCTCCTCGTCGGGACTTCATACGACCCCGTAGTTCTTTATTTCGAATTCAAGACCCGTCCGGCCATTCGCCGGAAGTCGAGGTGTATCGGCCACGTCGATTGGTGCGTCGAAATTCCCGGCTTGGTCCCCTCGGTTTCCGGGATACGAATAAGTAATGCGCTGGCGAGGGGTGTCTCCAGTGGATGCTGATCCTGGAATTAATTCGGCAGCACCTCGCGCGACATTCGCGGGACCACCAATTAGTATGTCAAGGACGCTGGGGATGTACTTGATGCACCCTAAGTACGCCCTGCAGATGTCGTATCTCGAGGGTGATTAAATTGAAATATCCCTAAGACGCGACCCAGCGATCCCCCTTTGGATGATCGTGTCTTATCACCCCCCTCGTTGGAATTCGGGACCCGTTCGACGGTTTGGGAGAAATTGATGATAACGTTTCCGCGGATACTCCTAAATTATTTCCCACTCTTCACTGCGGAACTTTATTACCGCGCAATCGATTTACCCCAAAATGGCCGTCTTCGTCTTGTCTCGGGTTCGTACTTCATTCGCATGATCCTCCATGGACGTGTCTAGGACCAATCGATACCTTCATTATGTGCATCTGGCTTAGGTCTTCCAGACTTCGTTTTTTCCTGATAATTACGTTGAAATATCTTCAGGACGTGGTCGAACTATTTCTCAGGGGTTGAGCGATCATCCCCTAAGCCGAATTCGATTCGCGTTACCGGCTCAATGGGTATCAGTAGGACGCGATTCTACGGATATGATGTATCCACGAATGTAGTAAAAAATTACCTTCATTACCGCTCCTCGACCCATCACTAATCAACTAGCTTAGGGTGTCTTGCAATGACGAATGGTCTTGAAATTAATTTCCCCGCGTCTCATGCAAGATGTTTGCTATATAGAAGGCACTTTGATGCATTGGTACGTCGCATAAATATCTTGTGGGTATTCTATTCTAATGGCAATTAATCAGAAATTCATCGATTTGATCTCTTATTCCGAAATTTTTCCGCCGAGGATATTTAGCTTCGCCCTAACACTGAAGAGTAAACTGATAATTAATTTAGAATATCAACGTGAGTAAATTACCTTTGAATTAATTCACCTCATGTGAATTCTGTATGGTGTTAGATGATGGTCTTAATCGCTTCAGAGTGTCTTCAAACGCCAAGTCCACATCCTGGACATCATGCGGTAATTGAATTGAAACAGAGGAAATTAATCTCCCTATCCTTAAAACTAGAGAATTCCTAAGGATTAAACGGGATAGGATCATTAAGCGAATTTCCTTACAAATAAAATACGTAATATTGGAATAGAAATTGCTCGGACTATCCGTTTCGACGTCTTCGGAATAAACTGCCGTACATATAGTTCGCGTTCTACATCTAAATCAATTCGACATGTAAATTACATTGCGCCCGGGTACGGCTGAAGATTCCAAATTTACTGTAAAAATGACTAGGAATTTCATCAATAGCATTGAAATTACGCCTGCATTGTCTGATAGCGAGAATCAAATGTTATGGCAATCGACACTACCGAGATGCACGCAGTCCAATTATTGCTATTGTGAATTTAAATGAATTTTGTCATCGAGCAAAAAAGAATATCTAGGGTCCAAAAGATTTCAAAATTCAATATCGATGAAAGGAAGGAAAATCGAGGAAATGTGGGGTGCGACAAAATGCGTCAGGATAGAGATCTAGGATTATTCGCGTCTTTCGCTAAACTAGAATCTAGAATTAATAAGGATTATTTTTCAAGGTCGCACTTAGGAGGTTCGCGTCCGTCGGTTACATCTTCCAAGCCTTTTCTTTTCCTTTTACCCACGATAGTTCCGGCCTCAAGTCCTCCGGGAAGTAAAGAACACATCCGGGAGGACTTTGTTGCATTTTCGTGTTCCTTTTTAAACATGGACTCAGGATGTAACCCGGCGAACCCCTGGGCGACTTTGACGTCTCCGTGATCTCCCTCGTGGCTCGTTTCCCCGGGGAGATAAATGAAATTTGAAAAATGAAATTTCGCCAAACAGTTCCCCTACCAATCTGGTTCTGAGCGCTCTGGTTTCCATTAGTCTCCCCTTCGATCAGAAGCGAAAGCCGCACCCTTGGATGAAAGGGCCAAGGGTGGGATTACGGTTCCAGTGTCAGCTAGCCGTTAAAAAAAACCGGCGAAAGGGAAAAATCATTGCGCGGGATTAAAGTGGCGGAGAGGAATTGCGAGAAGAGTCTAACTCCTTGCTCGAAAAGTTATTCCGGAAAAAAAAAAAAAGAAAACAACGGAAGCCCGAACGCGAAAAGTGACGCGTGCCTCCCAGCATGCGACTGACCAATGCGTGCGCCACACGCGCCACATACACACACACACAACGGCACACATGCGCCCTACACATTACGGACACGCGAGGTACATGCATACCCATGGACTCTCTATCTCTTTTGTATGGTTTGTTACGTTATTATTTTAATTGATACAACCCAATTGTTCTTAATTTAAATGTGAATCGTATTTTTTGTTTGTTTTTTCTAGTTATTTTTTGTTGTAAAATGCTTTTTAATAATATTTTCAGTTCACATTACGACACGAGGTTTGTCTCGTCTTTATTATTTCGCATTACCTGCCTCGCTACCCCTCTACCTCTCCTGTTCCTTCTCGGTTCATTCGTATTGACGAGAACAAAGCGTTTGGGGATGACAGACTTTGTTCCGGTGCTTATTGATAAGGGAAATAAGGTTACGTCGATAGTATCTTTTTCGCTAATTTTAGATCGTACGTTAAATTATTGTCGCTTTGTACGAGAACCGAAGCTGCAGACTCGATATATATATTTTTTTATATGCTACGAAATTCTTGTACATTTAGCGAAAGTAAGGCAAGACTAAGGGTCCGTATACATATATGTGTATACATGTACGCAGCAAATTGTTCTTTAGATACGCGCAAAAGAAGTCATTTAATTTATACACGCGTTGGGTTCCTTTGTTGTTTGACGATGTGTTCCTAGAATTTATAACAAGGCGTAATGAAACGTTCTATGATCTGTCACCCTTAGCGCTCAAAACGCGCCCCTCTTGTTTCGTTACCTAATTATCGAACGCACATTCCACGAACAATTACGACCGGGTAATTCCTTCCTGGTGTACTCTCCTGTTGCTATGGTGTGTTTAGAATGGTTGATGGGTGTGTCGTTACATGCATGATACGCATCCGCGGGTGCGTATGTGATTTTTCTCCTCTCTCCCTCCCCCTTTCACCGCCCAACTTTTTTCTTCTCACTCTTGCTCTTTCTATGCATTGCACAAATTGCCCGATTTTTCGAGTGTTGCCTCTCTTTCTCTATCGTTAAGAATGAACATTATAATTACGGGGGATCGAAAGGAAAACAATTGGATAAATTGAATTTCTTGTTATAACCACGGTACATTGACAATAGACTTATGAAAAGACTTACGAAAAATCGTGTTTAATTTCTTTTCTTTTTTTTCGGAATTTTTTTTCCCGAGCTCAAAGTACCATTTTCGCCACGATGGATGGAAAAAGCGAAGGAGAACGATAGAGAGGGAGAGAGAGAGGGAAAGAGAGAGAAATGCCGGTCCAAAGGAGAGTGCAACAGGATAATACTGGCCGGGGCGAAAAGTCAAATCATTTACGCGTTTTCTATCAAACTTGAGCAAAATATTAAATATACGCGTACATAGGATGTACAAAAAAAAAATGTCATTTGAAGTACCTTCGGAATTTCGACGAGGCGAAAATCCCAGAATATCGAATCAAGGCCAAATAATTTGACTACGCCCCCGGATTTTACATCGTTTCCGTAATATCATCTAATTTGGTCGAAATGCCGTTGATACGTGTTTATCGGCGCATGCGCAAACGCACCCGTGAAAAAGGGGCGCGTTACAAGACGTACCGGGATATCGGGGGTGGCATACTGTCGGCTGCTTAAATTTCGATATCTCGTTAAGAGAGGGAGCGCGCACGAGAAAAAGGTAACGACGGAGGACCCGAGACGAGAAATAGTCCTCGGAAGGACCTTCCGGAGTCCCAGGACGTCTCGGAAGCGCGATACCGGCGTGGAAGTTGCACGGCCGCGGATTTGAAAGCCGGTCATCGTTGGGGCGTTGCATAGTTTCCGTAGCGTTAAAAAAACTATGAACGATCCATTAATATATATACGTATACATATATACATATAACGTACGTATACATATACATATATTTTTGTACGTTCGCAATTGTACGACCGGTGGGAGGATATCGAACCGCGCGACCTTTCCGCCAGCACCGAGAGTCGATCAGAGACGGGGCGACGTTCGAGGGGAATTATCGAGGCACGCACCATTAACGAATAACGCGTTGCGTATGTATCGCGACGCGCGGGGCGACTCTTCGTACATATTTCAGAACTACCACACTCTTCCCGGGGCCCAAGTAAAGTTACGCGTACGCTGATGCGTACGTACAGTCGATAATTGTACAATTAACTATTTTTCATCGGTACGAACTCCACGATTGTGCATGCCTAGTATAGTGGTATATACGCGCGCGTACGTGTATACGTGCATGTATGGATGCATACGTACACGTATATACGTGTCGTGCGAGGAGAGACGCCCACCCGAGGGGTGTTAAGGTAAGGTTCGTTGCTTGTAACGCGAGTGATCGTTTCGTAGCATGTAAGCGGTACCTATACATTGACTAATTATTATTACCATTATCGATACCACTATTACCACTAACATTATTGCATCCATTAATGTACACCAATTACCCGCGCACCCGCTCACGTACACGCAGACCAATCGGTGTATCGTAGCGTAGGCGGTGGCGCCGCGTTCGCGCCACCGAGCCAGGGTGGAGGATCTCCGCTCCGACCGTAACCGTATACTCCATGTCAATACGAGCGAGCGAGAACACGAGGCGGGGGTGGAAGGGAACGGACTCGGCCACGTTTCGCCGCGAGTGCGCCCCCGAGGGGTGGCCACGCCGCCCTCCACTTCCGGCGGGCTTCCGGCGCGGACGGGACGGGCGACCGACCGTCGCTCCTTCCCGACCCGGTCGGCCCGGCAGGACTTTTCCCTCCTCTTCCGACGCGAATCGGACGACCTAACGAGACGCACCCCAGGTCGATTTTTCGAGGCGGGGATCCACCCCGATTTGTCGATGACTCGAGAGGAACTTTCGCGTTCGGCTGGCGACCGAGCCCGGTATCGAGCCATCGTGCACCGCGGAGGTGATCGAGGGTGGCGAATTTGGCTTAACCGCCCGCGGGGACGTCTTCTCGGGGACGTCGAGGGTCCTCGGTCGCGAGAGCTCGTCGGAAGTGGCACTCGGCCGGCGGAGCCGACCAGCGCGGGACCGAGGTACAGGGTAACGCGAGCGCTAACCGGGCCCGAGAACGGGAAGTGGTGGTCCTCGTTTTCTCGCCGTGGCCAGGAAAGTCGCCGACGTGGACGGCCGACGGTCAACCGGGCTTTTCTCCCCGACGGAGGTCGTCCACTCGCGACGTGTTGTAGATCTTAAGGACTTTAACGTTAACTTGTAACACACAACCTATTCTTGTATCGCCGTAGGTAGGTAGCCATAGGTCGTAGGGTCGAAGCAGTGGTACCGTAGGTTGGACCCGGAGGGAAATCCCTCGTCCAAGACGAGCGAGATGGTCCGGAGAGCCGCCGTACCGGAAGGAAGAGCTCGAATCGTGCAAATGCTGCGAAAAGAAAAGAACGACGCCCGGGAGTCGGAGTCGAACACTCCGGATTTCCGGCGTGTCGTTCAATTTTGTGTCTAAGAGTTATCGCTAAGCGAACGCGTCCACGCCACGCCGTCGCGTGGACGGCTCGAAGTGGAGATAAGTAGGGAGTTAAGTGGTCGCTCGAAAGAGCGGCGACAAAGGGACGTATCGGGAGGACGAAGGGAGGATAAACGTCTGTCCGGCCCGGCGGTACGTCCGCACACTTGTTGCGGCACAGACGAACCAACGGCCCAGTCCTCCGCAGCACCTAAGGTGCGCTGACACGACTAAGCATGCTTTAACCTTCGGTAAGACTGACAAATCAAAGTAAAACGCGAGAAGGAGCCTCACTTCCAGTGTCGTCAATGGACGACCACTTCTCGTTACCGATACATACAATCAAACGCTCGTATTGGTGGCTGACCATTATGGTGAATATGGGGAAATAGGCGAACCAGGCGAATCGTGCATTTTCTTTCGCGTGGACGAGTATACGGGTACAAGACGAGGGTGCATAAGACTATGGAATATTCCGAATAAGGAAGGGATGAAGAGAGAAACGTATGAACGGGGAAAAGGAGATTTCTAATGGAATTCGTCGCGCTTTTCTTCTACGGTAGATCTAAGGCTAATTTATTTCCTGCCTTTTGTTTGAAAAAAGCAACGGGAGGATCGTGAAAGATAATTTTCCAGGTTTTTTTTTCTTTGTTTACTTTTAAAGGAATGAACATTTTTAGCGATGCTTGCTATTTAATGCTGGATAAGCATTCTTACCACCCTGCCGGAAATAAGAAGCGTTTTTCGAAAAGACTGTTCAGCCTCATATTTACGTGATAGTTATGAATTCCCCCTTTTAAAAATGAACTTTCATTTCGGTCAACTACTTCAGCTTGGATTTTTACTGCCCGTTCATGCCGATTAACTAACTATCGGGTTTGATTCTATGAAGCAATCGTTTTACCAAAATTACACTTTCACCCATCAAAGTATTTATTATTAACCTTCAAAGAGATTCATTAAAATTTGGATCTTTTAGGTTCGATTAATCGATTCCGAATAAGTGCTTCTTTCCGAATGTTTTATTTATTCATATAGTAATCTTTTTCTCCCCTCTTTTTGATACCTTTTTCATTTTGCATCTTATAGACCAAATGTGATCGACACATAAAACGCTGTTAAATTGTTCCAACGTAAATGTACTCGATTCCCAAAATGTCTAATGCATTTAAAGTCACAGTCAGTTAATCCTGTCTAAATAGGTAGATTAAAAAATAAATCTGAGAAATCTGGAAAAACGCCCGACACTACGAAACGTGTTATCGATAGTCTTGGGCACAAGTAAGGGATGAATGTGTCTTTCGGTTGCGCCCAACTCTACCGGAAGTGAGTTTCAACGAACCCTCTCGACCGAAAGGATTCTCGATATCTTCCTCGAGTTCCGTCTTGTGTCCCACTAAACGACGATAGGAAATGCGCGGCGGATTTTCCATTTTGATGTGGCTTTCACGTGGTGGGATAAATACACGGAGGAATACTGTGATATTCAGCTTTCTTATGTCTAGTGACAAGTAGACGCTTGTCAATCCGTTCCCATCGGCAGGAAGGGTAGCGAGAGTGGATGAACATTGGAAGTTCGTTAGGCTGCGAGATTCGTTATCCAGGAGTCTCTCCTGGAAGATACGGATAATCGGAAAATGAAAGGAACCGACATCCCCGGATTCGTGTGAAAGACTGTCAACCGCGAGATGACGGTGCGATCGGTCGTTTGAACTCTTCTCGCAAAGGGAAAACACCGCGACGGTAGGATGGAGGAGAGAAAGAAGGAGGTACTAATACCGGATGAAAGGGAGAAAGTAGGGAGGATATTATAAATCTATGTATATATGTGTGCGGGGCAAAAGATCGACAGACGTCGGATGAACGAAAGCCCTACGGTGTATAAGCAACGTAATCGATGTCTTAACCTACGATACCAA